GGCGTGCAATCTTAGATAAAATCTTCATTAATGTTAAGGTGTCATTTCCTGTTATTGTTAAAAATCTGACCCGTTTTTGTCATAAACGGTGCAGGAAGGTTAGTACCCGAAATACTGCAAATCCTCTATTAAACACTCCTCTCTTTAGTAAGCCCCCTCCCCTCCCGCGCGCTTTTTAAGGAGAAGAAAGTTATTTAGTCCTCCAGCCCTCCCCTTATATTCTTAAATGGTAGAGCCGTCAGCTATAAACAAACCTATTCCATGCACGCATCTCTCATTCTGTTAGTCAGGCTCGCGTGAAGCTCAATGCAATTCTATCGATTGAAGCGGTTGCTGCACACATACGGAGCCTAATGTAGTAAGATCGAAAGAGGTTTCCTGAGGAGGTTTCATCGAGGTAAGAGAGAAACCGAACATCGTCTGAGCAGGTTTCTTTCAAGAAATTAGTCATGTGCATGTAATGAGTTAAGAAAATGACGCCACAAAGAAGTTGTCTTGTATTCTTGGTAACCAGGCCACAGGACAAAAATTAATGGTTTTTGAGCGCAAAAAAATACCACTTTCCTTAATCGTATGAAGCTATAATTTGCACACCATTTACTTCAAGTACTTAACTGTCATACTAGCGAAAACAAAAATGATATTCATGGATTTGATCATAGTAGCACTTAAACGAGTCACGAGTGTAACTCTCCACGTGGACAGATAGGGTATAATTAATTTACGTGCTGGAAGTTCGGATTTGTCTTGATCTTGGGCTGCAAGACATCAAATTCACTCGCCTGGGCTTTTCACCTCTGCGTTCTAGTTTTTATGGAGAATTGATACCACCATATTGGCTGAATTAAATCAACCCCCTCCTCAATTGCAAACGTGCTTGGAATAAATAGGCCTCTAGAGGGGGGGGTGGTTAAAAGAGGATTTACGGTTATAAACTTTTTAAAAAAGGAGCAAACAAAGCTGTTAGATAAAGAAAAAGTATGAACAAAATATATAATTTCAATGATATTTTGCTACAATCAATTGCCATGTACCTGAATGCATCTGAAGGGCTACTTCTCTCCATTTCCTCAAGGATGAAGTCTAGTGCTTGTTTCTTTTTTGCAGCACTGTCCATTGCCAAGTTCTGTGCAATTTCCAGAGGGTTTTCCAATTCTCTGTTAAACATTTTTTTCCAGTTTAATTCTTTATAAAGTGGGAACAGCTTTTGGAATGCTCCTTTCGATGCCGATGCAACACAGTGATGCAAAGCAGTGTTCCCCTCCTGGTCAGCGTCTTGTACACTGATTTCTTTTTTTCGTCTTTTGAAGGTTGAAATGCAGCTTATATTTTGTCTCCTTATTGCCACTGACAGAGCGGACATTCCTGGAATTAACCCTTTGGCTGAGCGGTGGTCCTTTTCAAAGTCATCTGGAAGCTTACAGTTTAAGTCCACTTTTCGAACGCCTATCAGGTGCTGCATTACATGAGGACTCATAGAAGGCAAGGAACACGCCTTTAAAAGTGCATTGTAGCCATGTTGGTCTTTTGTCTCCAACTCCCCAGATACAAAGCAATCGAGACTCTTTTTAACGTGTACCTCTGAAAGATCTTCTCGTTTTGTCATCTGTTTGCGTTGATTCCAAAGGTTAACAATAACTGCTGTGACGTCGTTAGTTCCCGCCATGTACAATGACATTTTTTCGGCGTCTTGATTTCTTGAAGTGGAGGTTCTACGCTGGTGACTGGTATTGGAATCGCTGTTACTTGCAACATCATCAGCACTGTACGTATCTGGTACATTCGGCCACTCTGTGTCCTCCCCTTGTATGGAACAGGTGGTTGTTTGGCTGCTAGCATTAGATATGGTTTCTACATCTTCAACAGTTTCTTCATGAACAGAAGATGTAGATGCCCTCTGTGTGATCTCTTTGTTCTTTGACATAATCTCTTGACCTTGACTAGAATGAGAGGGGCTAGTACTTTTCTGGCTACTTTTACTTTGGAATTCCTTTTTCTTTTTCTTGCTCACCTTTGAATGTCCGTTTTCCGAAGTGGATTCATCACTTTTACTTCCCTTTCTGTTACGCTCTTCACTGCTTTCGCTCCTACTTTTCTTCTTTTTTACTTTCGTGCCACTCGACGTCTCTCCGCCGTTCTCGTTAACAACATATACGTCACGTATATTATGTAGAGAAGACGTGAACACCATGTGCTTGTCATCTTCCCTCCTCAGCATGCTCTCGCCACCAGTACGAATGGGGTTTCTGCTTTTCTGGTCACTTCCAGTCTGGAGTTCCTTTTTCCTTTTCTTTTTTCCTTTTGATTGTTCTGTTTCCGAAATGGCGTTACCGTGTTCATTCCAATTGCTGTTACTTTCTCCTCTGTCATTGAAGATTGACCTTTTTCTTTCCCCTTGTCTGCCATTACATGACTCTCCGCCTGTGCCTGCCTTTTCGAACGTTTTTTTGACACTCTGTTCGTCGCGCGTTTGGTTATTTTTCTGGCCAAAGAAATCATCAATTTTTAGTCGCTTGCTTGGAGACTCTTCAACCTTTCTTTGCTTTGAATTAGGTGATTCTTGACGAGACTTGTTTGAGGGAAGAAGAGACGATATTAGACCGGTCAATTCTTGAGGGGATTTCTTTACACTCGAACATTCCTGACGATATGGCCTTAAAGTCTCTTGACCCTTTGTGCTGAGAGGTCCTTGTTCAAACTGTCTTGTACTTGTTCTGCGGTGTTGCTGATGATCAACAAGGATACCTTCGTCCGCTTTTGTGGCGTTTCCAGATACGTTTATTTCAACAGCTGCATTAAATTCTTCCAGAATCATGCCATCTTCTTTCGCGAAGGATGCCTCGATCACAATCCACCGTAAATGATGTCTTCTAGGATCAGCGGCTGATAAAATGGAAAACCGACCACATCTGTTGCTCATTTGGGAGGTGAGGCAAATTCCATTGTGTGACGCTATGGTCGCCAGAGTCAGTCCGGGCCACCTTTCTATTGCATCTTTAGCACTAGTGATGAAAATGATCTTTTCTTGGGTTGCGCAATAGGCTGATTCCAAAAGCATCGCATTCCTGAGACTCCGATTTGCCACAGAAGCACAGTATGATAAAATAAGGACTGAAATTTTTTTCTTGCAACCGGACTCCTTACTTTCGTAGTTCTGGAGGTCAAGTGTCCGGAGATCAAGTTCCTCAACAATTTTTGAGGGGGAGAACTGGTCGTCACAATCCTCTGGTTGGTCGTATCCAATCTGTCCTTTGAAGTAATTCTCATGACCTTCAGTGTTGACAAAGCTGCGGAGGTGGTCCAAGATGATTTCCTCCTCGATAACCTTTGGCAGCTCACTAGCAAGTGGTCGTTCCTCCAGAAAGCTATCTTTTTTCCATACAAAAATAGTCGGACATACGAGATCCTTGATCCAGTCGTTGTATTGGACTTTGTGAAAATGAAAGCGATTGCATTTCACTACCCATAAATCAGCTTTGTCGCAATCGTCGTTGAAGCGTAAGTCTTCCCAACACGGCCACGGTCGATAAAACACTTTCTTTTCCACCGTGCTTTTGACATTCAACAAAACAGCAGCATAAACCTGGGTCTTCGCAAATGGCCTGACCGATATGGGGACACTTCTGAGAAGACCTAGAATGCCATAACTCTTGAAAGGGCTGTCACCAAACAACTTAGCGGGGCCTGTATACGTATACAGGGGAAACTGTTGGCCCCCTGGATGATCCTTTAAAGGATGTGGCTCGTATTGTATTCTTTCATCGGGTGGATTGCCCTTTCCACTTGCAATCTTCTGAAGGTAAGTGAGAGGTTTTAAGAAAGAACATCTTTTCATCTTCATCACTCCATTCTCATCTCTGACAACGCTCTGACCTGTTGTTGTTCCTTCGTCCGACCTGAACACTGCTTCGGACATCAAGGCCACATTGTCATCAATCACAAAAACGTATTCCAGCCCTAGAGCAAATGCAATTTTCTGAATAAACAATCTCGCGTAGCCTACACCTCCTTCACTCGGTCCACGTTCGCAGTTCGGTAGTTCATCTGGAAGCTGAAATATTGCAATCACCTTCCCCCAGGTAGATTTGTAGGCCTGGAACATTTCACTTCGAACCACAGCAACTTGCAGATAACTAGCTACTTGGCTTTCCTCTTGCATCACGTGATGATAGTTTAGAAGACACTTTCGTGGATCATCTCTGTGAGAGGGATGGAATATCCAATAAGACAGCGAAGTCACTCCAGGGCGGTTGAACTCGGTCCAGGACCCTTCCCCTGACCTAATGCTTCTGAGATGTTCTCGCAGGTAATTGTACGGTAGACCACTGGTGGGAAGTGAGCAAGTAACTGTTACCGGAGTGCCATCGATGTTTACTTCAAGCGTCTCCAAAACAGGCAGCTCTCCTTGAAGTAGTCTTCCGCATTCAACACAGTTCTCAAAGTGGTACCAATGCCACGAGCGAACACCATCTGCACAATCTCTTTTCTGATAGTTGAGATTTGACTTGACTGGCCTCTGCCCTTCGCGTTCCATGAGAATGAAGGGGCTATCTTCGATGTCGTGAGTGTAGAAGAGGCCTCCAATGGAATACTTCCCTTGTCCCACTGCCTTTTCAAAAAGGCTGGGAGAGTTTTCTATCGTCTTCCAATAAGGAAATCGCCAGTCTTCATCATTATTCACTCTGTCGTCCATTGTGTCATCAACAGAATCACAGTGTTTGTAGATATAAAAGCTGCCTTCTTCAAACGTAGTATTTTGTGTGCTAGGTATCTTCTGTTCTCCAAGGATGTCTAACTTCAGTTTTTTTATGAGACAAAGATATGTTCCCGTCTTGCCGATCTGGGGTTCAGCTTGGAGAAGTATTCTGTTGCAATGCTCTTGCTTGTTGCCATAATCATAGCTATCCTTGTGCGCTTCATAGTCCAACCAACGCAATGAAGATGACTTTTTGCCTTGGCTTTTGCTTTTGGAGTTTGACATGTATCGGTCGGGTCTGGTGCACGAAATTGCGCTCATAGCTGGAGAACTCGTCGCTGACTCTGAAAGGTTTTTAAACAGCTTCCTGCCTACTAAAACATAGGGAGTGTCCTGAGCAAATGATCCTTGGACTTGCTTTGCATAACGACACATTCGTCCAAGTTCTTGAATGACAGTTGACAAGAAAACTGGCGAGCCCTCTTTAAACTCCCGACTGCTGTCATAGTTCAGTCGAAGGTCAAGGCAATCAAAGCTCTGGGGAAATGTGTCCCCCATACGTCCTTTATCAACCAGGATGAGGACGCATGCCAGGTCTTCTAGGTCTTCATACTGAGTGACTGATCTATGTACGTGTTGACAATTGGTACACCTCTTGCGGCCGGGTCGTAGCTCAAGTTGACTACAGCGGCAATCAAATTTAAACTGGCAATCAACAGGCTGGAGCTTTTTGAAGAAAGGACTTGATGATCTCATTAGCTGATCCTCGATTTGGATTCCACCATAGTCTCTTATGATTTCAAAGCAAGTCTCCAAGGAGGACAATTTCCTAGCTAATATAAGGGTTTTGTAGAACTTATTGGCGGTTTCCATGCTCCTTGCTCGAACAATTTTCATTTTACCAGATTCCCCTTCTCCGCTCTGAATTAGGCTTTTCACAAGGAATCCTGTTTCGTACTCGTTGACAACGTTTCTCCAGATCCTAATCATCTTCTGGCAGTTGTTTTCTTGTAGTGAAGATCTGATGTCTTCTAGAATGCCTTTTTTGTTAGGTACTTCCGTGAACGATTGGAGATCTTTTCGAGAGAAGTGCATTAGACAGCCAACAAATGCAGTTTCCAGATCTTCCTTGTGAACTTCATTACCTGCTTTCCTTTGTCTCTGGTATTCTTTAAAACTTTCTTTGAAATTCTCTTTCTCTTCGTTACAAATTTCTCTCCGTATCAATTCAAAGGCTTCGTGGCTAATGTACTGTGTGGTTTTTCCCGTTGTGTTTCTCTTCAGTTCGTCTGTGAAGTAGCAAAGCATTTTACTGAACTGATCAACGGGAGATTCCTCTGTGCTATTGACTAGTACCTGTCGTATTTTGTCATCGCTGTTGTAGGCGCCAATATGGAGGATGTAGTAGCAGTACTCCGCGCATAACAGGGCATCCGCTTTGAACTGCTTCTTTTGTCTCTTCGCCTTGTCTACGATTCGTTGAAAAAATTCGTCCTGACGAATTTTTTGAGCATCTCTGTTCTGACAGTTGATAGTGCTTAGGTAATAGTTTAAACTCATATACTGCTTTTCAGTAGCGTCAACCTCTGCTGGTCCACACTCGTCCATGTAAAATGCAAACGAGACGCGAGTCACGTCTTGTTTAGGTTTCATAAAAGACACACCGCATTTCCTCTCAATTCTAGCTGTTTGCAAAGAAACACGGGCTTGATCGTCAACAGCTATAAAGTGATCTTTTTCGTCACACGAAGAGAACGCTGCAACACCAACGCCAAATTCCAACTTCACCTCAAACGTGGCTGGTTGCTGTGGGTTAACTTTTGCTTCCAACATTCCGTTTGTGTCTCTTGTTAGAACGTACACTTCCGGCTTGCTTGAAATAGCTTTGATTGTCACAATTCCTTGGCTCCCCTGTACAAGGAAATCGGTGGCTTTGCGTTTATCATGTACGACACCCAGTTGGCCTTGAGAGGAAACGTGAAGGTATTTGAATGTGGTATCTTCAGTAACTAATGTTGACTTGAGTTTCATCCGCATTCCTCTTTCAAAGTTCTTCAACTCGACCTCTGACCAGTGGACAACATGCAGTTCTACTTCTTTGGAAATTTCTTTTACATGTTCTTCTATCTCATGTTCACGGTCTAAAACTAAAAGATCGCCCGCTGCGTAATGGTTGTTTCCGGTTGTAGACTCTTTGTCGTAGAGAAGAAGGCAACTGACTTCAGGAAGACGGGAGTTCTGCGTTAAAAGGTTAAAAGGTGTTGCGGAAATTTGAACTACGATCACATTTCTGGGAGAGTTTTCCTTACACCATTCATTGATGAACAGATTATGTGCCGATGGTTTCTGGTCTTTGTCTTTTGTTATTCCCCAATGGCACTCATCAGCAATAATGATAAAAAGAGTTCTTGGCTTTTCTTGAACGTCTTCTCTTAGCTGCTCAAAATGAATGTCATTTTCCGCGCTGCGAACGTACATGAACATTCTCTTCTTTCCATTCCACTCTTTACGTGACTTGAGTTCTTGTTTCGATAGAACACCAGCGTCCGGATGACAGATCCTTTTCTCGGTCTGATCGCTAAGCATCCGGTACCTTGCTGTGTAGACGGCAAACTCTACGTCGTCGAATTCGTCGCTGAGCTTAGCGATGTTGTGGTAATGTCTCATAATTGTGTCAATTCGTTTCTTCAGAATAGTTGCCATTTCTATCTGTGATGGATAATAGCATGGCTTCTCAGGATTTGCCTCTTCCACTTCGTCAATTTCTTCTTCGTCATCTGACGGGTACGTATCGTCCACACAGACATCTTGCCTCTCGTCGGTTTCCTCGGCGCTCTCAAACTCAACCTCTTCGTACAAGGCAATGTCGGCAGCAATATACTGACTGATCCTTTTCCGTAACTCTCCAGATGGGTCGAACACGTTGTTAACAAGGACGTCAGCACTTGGGATGCTAACACTCCCTTCAGGAGGGAAAAGAGAAATAAAGTCTCCAGTGCTGTGAAAGTGTGAGCATTCTTCGCGCACTCTCAATAAACACGTTTGGTCGTCAAACCACCTTTTTCGCTTGCGGTTCCACCTTTGCAACTCATCCCACAAAGCTGGGGCAGGATCGAGGAGTTCAAGAAACTTTTGTGCGTCCCTATCCGAGATTGCATCAACAATTTCCATCAGAAAGTCGACAAAAAGAGAGCTATCTAAAAAATCTGGAGCCTGCCAGTAATGAACTCTATTGTAGTCTCCTCCCGGTGGAGTAATGCAAACTGTGTCTTCGGAAATGGAAAAATGGACCACGACTGGGCTTGTCTCGTCAAGAATGGGATCACCTGCAAACAATTACTATTGTGGTAACTGTCATTGACACTGTTGTAGTAGACTGCGAGCAGTTTCTCCCTTTATTCAAAATTCCTAGTGAAGGCAGTGCACGCGTGCGAGAAACGAGGGCGGCAGCTCGATAAACATTGCATTTAATCGAAAGAGCGCCGACCTCAAATAACCTCCGCACCTTGAAGTCAGAAGTCAATAAGCGCCGAATGCTATTTCGAATAAATACAAATTTCTAGTGTATCCATCCAAGAGATTTCAACCTATTCAAGCGAGAGTGGCGCATTTCTCAGTAATACAGCAAAAATCAAAATTTTTTAATGTTGATTATCATTGCTGATGTTTTTTGTTTCTTGGCAGTCCAAGCGGCACAGTACAATTAATGCTCGTAGAGTCGTGACGCTCCCAATAAATGATTAAAAGCTATTATCGAAGTATTAAACTTCAGTCAATGTAAATTCGCGCACACTAGTCCCGATTTGCTGGTTTGGTAACGAGCTCAGTAGCACTATAGCACCTAATGCAATTATTTAATAGGGATTTCAAAACAATGCTTATTAGCGAATTCCCAGACAGCGAGCTGCCTCTTATTTTTCTATGTAAAGTTACTGCACGCGAAAATCCTTAGCACGCGTAACGTAACGTCTTGGTTTGCAATCGCGCTGGCTGAGATATGAACTAAACAGATTTTAAGGGAAAAGGCGGACTGCAAACAGTCTAGCGAATTCCACAATTTATTTCTCTAACTTTTCAGCCATTTTGCAGCATATCCTTCAAATAAGATTTTCGCAGTCTATTGTTCATTTCGAAACTAACTAACAATCCCCCCAGAATTTCAGTTTTCATTACTTGAGGGAGGCACTTATTCCAGGGCAGTGTCCTTTCGATGAAATCCACAAGAATATTGCATTTTTCGAAAGACCCCGGCGGCGCATATTGATTTTGGACTTGAAGGTGCGAAGCTTATTTGAGGGCCGTGCTTTTTCGATTAAATGCATTAGAATATTGTGTTTTTGAAAGAGCGCCAGGGCGCTTTTTTATATCAGAAACATTCGTGAAAGCAAAACCTCAACGACAAACCAGTGAGGGTTAGCCGGATCAGTAAAATCTTGAGTACCAAATTTAAAAATTAAACAATAAACTGATCCTTACGGCAGAATGAGTGATGGAAAAAATATAGAAAGAAAACAAAAATAAAGTTGTGAATTATATTTGCCCGATATTTCAGTTTGCAACACAAAGCTTCAACGGGGGCTATAAAAGAAAAATGTTTCCATAAAAGAAAAATGTTCATTTGTATCCGACTATAATTGATGGCGGGGTTCTTTTTGAGTATATACAGTTGTGAAAGCATTTGAGGGTTTTACTACATTCTTTATTAATTTACATTACATCTGAGGGCTTTAGTGCAACACAAAGCTTTATTGTTTCTCGTCTGTTATTGAATTTTAGATTATATTGGGCTTTGTAGTTTTTACCTTCTTTGAACAATAACCAGCGTAATTACTAAGACTTTTATTTCAAGATGAAGAGTACAATTAAAGAAGCCCGCCAAACCGATTTCTGTAATATTTCTACTTCAAACACTTCTAGTGATCAACAGGACTCGCTGATGATCTACACAAACTCTCTAGCCACCCCATTGTACAATTCCGTGACGGTTGATTGAGCAAAAGTGAAGATCCCGGGCATCGTTTAAAAAACGACTAAGGAAGCAGTTTTTGGCTGCTTATTCTGAAATCAGTCTTACCTTGGTCAGACATCTTTATTCTGCTCGAAAATTTCCATGACGGACAGTTGTTGTTTGCATTTTCACTACTCGCTTGATCTTACTTTTTTATTCGTGACCTTTCCAGAAGAAAAGAAAAAACAAAAACTTAAGAATATAAAGAACTCAGTCAGCAGTTGCAGTGTTTCACATGGATTTGCTTTTCATAAAACACAGGAAAATAAGGTGGACAACGTATCACACAAAAACACACTTAACTTACTGTCTTGCCCCCTTGTGCATTTTACATTTCGATTCGTTCAAGAAACTAAGTTTACCCCCCACTGCCTCCATTCAGTAATTTGTGTGAGTGATCTTGATAAGGTTTGTTTCAGTGGTTCGTTAATTCGTCCGCCAAAAAAGTTAAGTAAAATAACGGGCGGGAAAAGGCGTACACCGTAAGCGTAATCAAGCATGTTTTCATAAATTTGGCTTTTTCCTGCATTTTATATCTGATAAATCGTTTTACTGTTGCAAAAACCGTTGCACTCGCACTCATCATATGCGGATCAGAATGCAAAACACAATATGCCCATGTGATAAGCAAATCCAATTCTCGTTTCAAAATGTATCCGGATAGGAGGTATACGCATTGCAGTTTAACGTTAACTTCGGTTGGAAATTAAAGCAAATGTATACTTACACAGTAAATGTACTCTAATAGAGCTTCTCTTCTCTTCTCAACTGAATTGCACTGTAGCGGGTTTCAAGGTTTGCTTTCTGACTGATCATACTGCTAAAGGATTGGATATAAAGAGGGAGCAACTCGTTCAGTTTACAAACAATGCAGCGATTACGTATTCTTGTAAAAGGCCTCGATAGAAAAACAAGATATCCGCGCAAAAAGCGCTGCAAAGTTGTTGTTCTCTACCTGCAAATTGACGTCAATCAGTCTGAAAGATTCACTGTTTGAGTCTCCGTTACCGGGGGGTAGTCAACAAAATTTTATACCGGGAGGCTCCGCCCTGAGGTCTAACCCCTTACTATACCCCCATACCATGTCTGACAGGTACCCCTTTTATATAGCTTCCATTGAAAAATGGTACCCCTTTCACACAATAGTTGCATTCCCTTTAAATCCTGTTACCGTCTTTTGATTATTCATCCATTCATTCATTCATTCATTCATTTATTTATTTTGCCATTAACCAGAAATACAACAACAGTAAACATTAAATGTGGTAAAGGCAAGGAAGCCTATATAGAAGCCGGGGGCTTATAAACTATAGGCTTCCTGAAACTATAGGGTAAACCATGCAAGTTAAGGGTACTGAATGAAAATTTGGATTCATTTTTTAAAGAATTACGAATAAATCTCTAAGCTAGGAAGTATTTTAGTCTTTTTCACCGCCATAAAATCCTCCCGTTAGCCCTTTGTGGTCCGTAATTCAAGACCGCAATGACAGATTTTCACACATCCTTTTATATACTTCAGCTATTGAAATCCCTTCCCTTTCATGTACCTGAAGTCTGGAAAAGCTACCCCTTTTAGGCGGAGCCTCCCCGTATGGGTTATAGGGAGTACCCCCGGGGTTTCTGCATGGATCGTCTTCCTAAGGTGATGTTACACAAGACGATTCGCAACATCGATTTTAGCGCAACACAGCATTACAGCATTGTTGCGACATTGCTTCGAATGGTTGTAACATTGTTCCAACATTGCAACGCTGTGTTGCGCTGAAAATCGTCGTTGCAAATCGTCTCGTGTAACATCATCTTTAGTTCTGAGAACTCAATATGAGAATAACGGTTTTTCTTGGAAAACGAGAATCAGCTAATTACAACAATAGAGTGTCATGCTCCAGCTATATTAGAAAGATTCCGGAAATAACTGTCAAGTGACTCAGTCACGGGCTCAGTCATCCTATGAATAAATACGACCAATTATTTAGGATGTTTACTGAGTATGTTTACTAAGTATTGATCGCAGAGCGGTCCTCAAAGACCCTCTATGACAAAAAGGAATAACGAAAGTAACAATTTACACGATAAACGTTTAAAAGCATCAGATCATTTATGAAAACAGGCATTTAGTATTTTAAAAAAGGAATACAAGGAATTCACTTACCCGTGTCCCAGACGTATTTTAATTGTCTTTGATTAAAATAAACACAATAAATCAATGTAGGGTGAAGAACTTATTATTCATTTGTCAGTGTGTTAGGGATGCAGCCTCGTTCCCAGTCGTCCTCGGCGATTTCGGATGTGACGTTATCTGTCAAGCTTGTCGGGAAAACTTGCCTATCGCAACAGCAAGTGGTAACGTTTGCGCATGCGTCAAGCTTGCTGGGAAGCACTTGTTGACGGGAAATCGTAATGGCCGAAAGCTGTTCTGAAGCACTTTCAAGGGAGATTTTTTTGCATACCCAATCAACAACAGACATGTCTTATAGATTGGATACTTTGGCTAAGCCATGTTGAAGTGTCATGTATGGGAGAAGGACCATTCAGCTGGTTAATTTTCGTCCATTTGGCTCCTCTGATGAAGCAGATAAAGCGTTCACGAGGTCGTTTGTTGTGATATGTTGATTTGTTGACATTCAAGCGGTCACGGATTTCTGGTTTATCGTCCACGATCTGCAGAGCTGCCTAACATTTAGGTAAGATATACCCCTTGATTTACTTTATGAAATGTGGAGCAGCATCATCGAATCTTATGTGTTAAAATTATAGCAGCCTGAATTCAACGTAATTTATGTGACCCTGGTATTTTAGTAGTATTTGACCTTGACCGTACAGCGAGATCCAGTTATATATCCCACACAAGCGACTAAACAGGTTAAACTTCTCTTTCGGTCACTCCGTATTTTCACTTTTAATGGTTAATTCAAAGGGGGGAAGTTCGAGTATTTTGATACTATTTAGCGGCATGAAATCAACAAACAAATTTCCTACTCTTACAAGTAAGGCCATAGTCGGATGTTTCCTTCCATTTTCGAAAATTTGCTTTTCTGGTTTACATTGGTGTTCTATGGCGATTACTTATTCTCAGAGATTAAGAGATCGAGTCGGTGGATTGTGAAATATTATTTGTTAAACCTTCGTTAAAGATGGACAAATTTTTCTTGTCCTTTTCAACCTTGTTTTTAGATTTTTCGTTAACATGTAAAAGTATATCCCAACAAAACTTATTTGTAAGAGCATTGTTTCGGAACACTCTTTCATTCTTGAATGTTTGATTTTGCATCCAACGGGGGGAACACTGATGAATTTGCGTTTTAATAATCATCCACTG